CAAGTCTTATATACTTATTGGTGTGGTGTGTCATATGGGTAGTTTATCATCAGGTCATTATTTAGCTTTTTGTAAAAGAAACGAAAGATATTATGTTTTTAACGATAACTTTTATGAAAAAACAACTAAAATGAAATTTAAATCAGATACTCCTTATTTTCTGTTCTATAAAAACAAGGATCTGGAATAAATTTATTTTCCTTTTTTAACTATTAATTCATTTTTAAACGCAATATAATATTTGTTTCCTTTTTTATAAAAAACAATCAAATATGTTTTATCTTTGAATTTTGATACATCATTAAAATTATTTACTTCAAACTTTCCTAATATAGAATTTTTAGAATCAATAGAATTGATAAATTCATCAAAATCTTCAATAACTTTAACTTTCTTTAAAATCAATTCTCTCTTACCATTCAACAAAATGTTTATTTTCTGAATTTTATAATCTAACAGTTTTAAAGTGCACAATGCATCCTCATAAGGATTATGAGATCCTTTTTGAATTTCATATTTTAAATATTTTTTACAAAGTATATTTAAACCAATTTTAAGACCTAGTGAATTAATAAAAAGATATGCTGTATCAATTACATTTGTAGTATAAAATTTAAGTGTCCCTAAATCATTTTCTAATCCATGGCCTACAACTATTGTATTTGTTCCAATGATCTCTTGTAAATCTTCTATTAACATTTTATATGAAATGAAATCTAATTCAAAACTTTTCTTAGTTAAACCAGAATAATCAGTTCTATAATCTATAATTAAATTATTAGGTTTAACTATCTTATTATAAATAAGACTGCCATTCTTGTCTAAAATAGCTATTTTACCAACCTCAACACCAATTTCAGTCTCAACCATTTCACAATCTAAAGCTATTAATGAATACTTGGTATTTTTTATTGGCCTATAAAAACTATCAAATTTACTAATATCAAATCTCTCTTGTGTTCTTATAAAAGCACTATAAGAAAATAAATGATTAATATTATTCATTGGAATATACTTTTTTAATAAATTCATATCAATTCCCTTAAAATCTTCACATTCCTCATCAAAATCATAAAGAATATGCTTTAAAATAATTTCAAGTGATAAATTACACTCAGAAAGATGAATGATACTTTCCAGATTTAACTTCTTCTGAATAAAATTATCAACATCATTATCTTCTAATTCATCCTTAATAAGAATTAAACCAATATTAGTTGGTTTATTATTTAGTTTAAACCAAGGCTGTTTTTTACCTTCATTAAATATATATTTCAATACCTTTTGGGTATTTCTAATACTTAAATATCTTAATTCTTTATAATAATTACTATAAATACATTCTTTATCATTACTCATTACTCTACTTAAATTATAAAAAAATTTATTGAAATTTATGAGTTTTTGTATTTTAATAATCGAATCTAACAGTCTAATTAGTAACGAGTATTTAGAGGACATATCAGCATTAGTGAAGGGATTTTTAAATAGTTCTTATAACAATAAAGTTAAAATAATAAGAAACGGTAAAATCTATGATTTATCTGAAAATAACTTAATAGATACTTTAATTAAAATCAATGAGATTAAACAAGAAAATATAATAAATGATTTAGCTAAGGCTGTTTTACAAAGTCCAAGTAAAGTATTAATTTGTGAAACTTTAGTTAAGAATGAAAGAAGTGATTTATTAAAATTAATAAAAATAGGTTCTTTAGCTCAAAAATTAAACATTCAAATTAATTATTATTTTAATAATAAAGAAGACAGTAATGAGAATTCCTGGTATAAGTTTTTAACAGAAAGTACAAATGGTGTGTTTGTAAGGAATATAAAAGATTTATTTAAAATTTTAAGCACAGCTTATAAATCAAATAATCATTTTTTTAAAATGAAGTGTTTTTGTTGTAATAATTTGATAAATCAAGGTTTTTGTTGTCCCATCTGTTTGACAATTTACTGCAAATTTAAGCCAATTTGTTTGAATTGTAAAGTGAAGTTTATTTTTATAAGAAGTTAAATTTATAAAACAAATTTTGTGTCTGAAAAAAAATAAATAAAATTAATTCAAATAAATGGAGTATGAATTTACACATAAAAGAAATAATGTTAAAACCAAACTACAACTACCAATTTATTACCAATTGGCTGTTTTATTTCGAACTCATAATAAAACTAAGGTCCTTTGTACAGTTCATTCAATTGCTTATAGAATAGCTATTTGTACAGAGTTAGTTATAAATGATTATTTAAAACTAGATGGGAATTTATTTAAAGTAAGTGGTAATACAAATGATGCTATTTTAAAAGAAGTGGCTACTAGTATATCTTTAATCACCAATAAAAATAATTCTATCACACCAAAACTATTAGTAGCAATTCTTAATGGGGAAGTAGCTAAATATTCAAGTTTTACTATAAAAAAATTGAAAGATAAAATTTATAACAAACTTAAGAAGGATCAGGTGGTAATTAAGAAACGTAAAATATTTTATATTTCTTCAAAAATAGTACTAGTTGATAATGATCTTTGGTTTAGATTATTTCAACTGATTTTAGAAGAAATTAAGTCTAAAAAATTAAGTTTAAGAACAATGATCATTTTGATTTGTCTCAACTATATAAACAAAGGACAGGATTTACTTAATCATTGTAATGAGAATGATAAGATTAATGTTAATACTGCCATTAATACATGTATAAACACTATAAAGGAGTATAATGGTACTGATAAAGAGAGATTGGTATATCAGTTTCTAAAACTTTTGATAATTAAATAAAATTTTTAAAGTTCTTTTTATTTTTATTAGAAATTTGATAAATGATAAAATTCATTACGATTGATGATTTTGAGTTAGGGAAACCAGTGGGTATTGGTAGATTTGGACAAGTATGGCTAGCTAGACACAGAGAATTAGGATTTGTATGTGCTATTAAAATGTTAGATAGAAATAATATTGTAAACAATACTGATGTTAAGAGAATCAGGAGGGAAATAGAAATACATCTCAATATGAGACATGAGAATATTCTTAATATGTTCGGGTACTTTTACGATAGTCGAAAAATATATTGTATATTAGAATACGCACCCATGGGTGATTTATGGAGATATTTACATGAAAATGGAAAGCTTAGTGAAAATAAAACTAGTAAATTTATTTACCAATTGAGTGATGCTATCAACTACTTACATAAACACAATATAATTCACAGAGATATAAAACCTGAGAATATTTTATTAGGAAAAGATTTAAAACTTAAACTTTGTGATTTTGGTTGGTGTGTCTATAATGCTGATAAGAAAAGACAAACATTTTGTGGGACTGCCGAATACTTGCCTCCAGAGTTATGTGATGATAAGTTTTATGACAAATCAGCTGATATTTGGTGTATAGGAATACTTGCATATGAAATGTGCACAGGTAATACACCTTTTGGATCACAAAAATCAATAAGAATGATGAAACAAAAAATTGTTGATGATGATATAAAGTTTCCTGATTATCTTTCTCCAGATATAGTTGATTTCATATCTAAGTGTTGTTCAAAGAATCCAGAAACAAGAATTACTCTTAATGAAATATTTTGCCATCCGTTTTTATTAAAATATAAAGAATAATAAAATTTTTTATACTTTTTATATTTTTTAATTTGTAATTTATTATAAAACACCCTCAAGTGCTACAATAAAATAAACGTAAAGTACACACAGATTAATAAAGAAACTTTCATAAATTTTTATACCAATTGAATAAGAAGATTTTATAGGGTCGATTCCTATCTTTTCCATAAAAAGTTCACCAAAATAAACTAAATTAACATAAAAAATTGTTAGAGTAAAAACTATAAATAAATAAAATCTACATCTGTAAATAAATCTAGTTATACCTCTAAAATCAATCGATGTTTGTTTATAAGTTATTACTAGCTCTAATAATGAATGAAATAACATAAACATACTAGCTTGTATAACATAACCTTGAATAGTTTCATAAATCAAATAATAAGAATGGTAAGTATCAATACATTTAGAAGCTCTAATAAAGAAATAAAATGATTGAGAACTACCTAATTTGATATAAAATAAAAAAATATTTCTAAACTGTCTTAAGAGATAAGAACTTATTAACAAAGAAGTTAATAATCTATAAGATTTAATCATACACTTCTGATTGCTATTAAAATTATATTTAAAGAATCCCAATGAAAACATTGTACTCATTAAAGGTATTATAAAAACAAGAGTAGCTATAAATGAGCAAGTGATTATATTTGGTACTTTAATACCAATCAATTTATGACTCAAATCATTCAATGAAATCAATGAATTATTCTCTGGAATGATAAGAAGTAAAAGTACACTATTTAAAGCTAAAAAGCCCACGTTAATATAATTAAGGAACATTTGTTTATTTAAAAAAATTGAAATTAATTTAAAATTAGAAATTTTATTTTGACTAATCTTTCTTGTTTTGCCTAAATAAGAATTCAATAGCTTCACTAATGTTTCCACCTGTTTGTTGAAGTGCTCTTAAATTAGAGTCATGATCTTTAAATCCCATGTCTTTTAATTTCTCTAATTGTTCACTATAAACAAATTCTGCATTTTGTTTAGTCACCCCCTGTCCCTGTCCTTGGTTAGGTTGTTGATTATTCATTCCTTGATTCATATAAGGTGATTGGTTATACATTGGGTACCCTCCATACCCATATTGATTGTACATCCCTCCCTGGGGGTTATACATGCCTTGTGGGTTATACATACCACCTTGTGGATTATTCATCATCATTGGACTTGCCATACTCATCAACTGTTTTAACTTTTCAGGATCTGATTTTAATTCGTTAAGAGTTTTTCTAAAAGCTTCTTTTTGTTCGTTTGTTGCATTTGGCATTGCCATATTAATACACATTTCAAACATTTCTGGATTGTCTAACATTGATGTTATTGCATTTACATTCATCATTGGTGACATTTGATAATATTGATTATTCATGTTAGGTGGATAACCTTGTTGAAAACCCATATTAGGAAATACTTGCCCATTCATCATGTTTGGATTATTCATCATGTTTGGATTATTCATCATGTTTGGATTATTCATCATATTAGGGTTGTTCATCATATTAGGGTTATTCATATTATTCATATTATCATTACTCATATTAGGGTTATTCATATTAGAATTCACTTTATTAGCATTCTTATTAGAAGGACGTTCAGTAATAACAACAATACTTA